CGTACGGTGTCGAATAATTTGGTGTCGAATAAATCTGTGTCGAATCGAGCGGTGTCGAATCGTACTGTGGTCAATAGAGTATCACCCCCTTTAACCGAATTATCAGAACCTACTTACGTGTTTAATTTTCCTTAACTAACAAGTTTTCCAAATTTGCAGATTAACCTTTACAAATTATTGCATCCTGAATTTAGACCCTACACCTTCGCAAGTACGTTAGTTCAAACCACTAATGACAACGTGTTTCTGCCGAACCACGTGTTTTACTTTACGCCCGCTTTGAACAACTACAGGACGTGTTACTTAACCAGCTTGACTATTTTGCCTCCTCGGTACCTTGCTCTATTGATATCAGACGCTGAAACATCTTGTCACCTTTGTGACCACACTAACAAAAGAAAACAAAACCAGAATGTTTGTTCAGCGCCAACGCTTACTTTAACCGCCAATAAAACTCTTAATGGCTAAATAAAATTTAAACACAAAATAACCAAAAAATAAAATACAAAAACAATCTACGGCCTCTCCCCAGCCGTTTACAACAAACACTTTACCTTAACCTTAAAGTAAATTTTTGTGTGTTTTCAGTCTTTTCTCTCTTCTTCCTTTCGCAATATCTTCGGCTGATCCGAAGGTTTTTATATATTGCACTTCGGTAATATAACAAAATAAGTTTGTCCATCCTCTGTAGACAACCGTCATCACGGTGACGTTTAAGGTAAGTACACGTATTACTGGTACTTAACGGCTACTAATACAAAATATACATACGTATAACAGTTAAAATATGTTTTACAACTCACTTAGTCCTTAATATACAGTCTTTTGTTTTTTAGGTATCCAGAGTGTACCTCACTCTATCAAGGACCTCGCTTAATACTAGGCTCGACCAATGCATGGCCTCCTTCCGAAGCTCCTTCCTCTCGTACTCCGCTTGGGCTTCAAGGAACGCTTCCCTTAGTGACTCTGAAGATCCCTCCAAACTCACCAGCGTCCCGATCTTTGGCTGGCCTTCTGACTCTGGTGACAAGGTTAGGTTAGGTTAGGTTACGTTAGGTTAGTTAGGTTAGGTTGTGACTGGGGTTTGGCCAGGCTGCTCCCCAATCTTGGGGGCCCAAAGCAGAAGGCCCGCCGTCTGTTCACAAACGTGGTCCACTCGGTGGCCTTGTACGGGTCACCGCTGTGGGCGGAGGCCGCTCTTCAGGCAGGTGAGCGGAGCCAGTTCCATCGGCTCCGTTCGGCCCAGAGGACTATGGCCCTCAGGGTCATAAGCGGCTTTCGCGACGTGGCCACGGAGACGGCGGGCGTGTTGGCGGGGGTACCTCCCCTGGCCCTTCTCGCGGAGATGCACTTGGCGCGATATTCTCGCCGAGTCGAACTCCTGCGAGAGGGCCTAGCAGACAACACCTTGCGGGAGGCCCTCGCCGACTCGGAGCGCCAGGCCCGACGGCAGCTGCTCCTACGCTGGGGGCAGCACCTGGACAAACCGCGTGCGGCCGTCCAGGAAGTCGTCGCGGTCGTCCGACCCCATCTCGAGGCATGGTTAGAGAACGGGGTCGGACGCCTCACCTACAGGGTGACTCAGGTGCTCACCGGACACGGTTGTTTCGGGGAGTACCTGAGTCGCATCGGCAAAGAGCCGACGACGCGGTGCCACCAGTGCGGGGCGGCCAGCGATTCGGTGGAGCACACCGTGGAGGAGTGCCCACGGTGGGCTCAGGAACGCCGATCGCTGGTCGCACAAATCGGGGACGACCTGTCCATGGAGGGCCTACTCAAGGCCCTTGCCTCCAGGGACGAGAACGTGTGGAGCGCGGTGGTCTCCTTCTGCTCCTCGGTTATGGAACAGAAGGAGGCCGACGAGCGCAACAGGGAGAGAGAGCGTCTTCCCTGCGGGGGGCCTCGGGGGCGCGTGCGAGC